ATGTCGGAAACATGTCAGTGATGAAGCTGCACTTCATCTGAACCATGTCGGAAACATGTCAGTGATGAAGCTGCACTTCATCTGAACCATGACGGAAACATGTCAGTGATGAAGCTGCACTTCATCTGAACCATGACGGAAACATGTCAATGATTTTAACGTAAATACGAATGGAGTAAATTAGCAACATGAAGATCGTCGGAGATACAGCACAAACTTTTCTAAGTAAATTAAGACGGTTCTTATTCATAAACAGAATTATACCAGTACATTTTCCTTAATCTGGCATATTGAACGGAGATCCGTGCGACCCGGAAGTATTCCTTTTAGCGCACGAACAGATGAGCGACACTACGGATCAGGTTCTGCAACAGATCGGGGAACGACAGAGCGTTGATGTTTTTCTTCAACACACTCGTCAAGCTAGAAGGAAACGGTCCTGCTAGCTTACAACGGTCCGCTAACAGCGATTAGCATTCTACTAATTTCTGTAAATAAAACGTTTCTTTACATTTTTCAGTTCGGTAAAGCACAGATTTGTCTTATTTAGGAGGAAAACATGGAAGCGTAAGAAATGTTAGTTTAGCTCAACGAATGCTAGGAAGGAATGCAAGGCATTAGCATGCTAGCCTGTTAGCAAAATTTAAATTTTTAAAAACTGATCAGTTACTTTAATTTTCTAAATGTGAAGCTATGTTTCAGTTAAACTCAGTTCAGTTTGTTCAGTACTTAATTTGAGCTGGATCAGGATCCAGGAACTCTTATTTTGACATGGTACGATCCCGTAACGGTTTGCTTGGATCCAGTAACTCTCAGGCTTACTAATAATAAAGTTATGGACAAATATGACTGCCTTGAATGAATTAAACTTAAATTGGATATGTAAACTGAAAATAATTACATAAACACTCATTTTAAACATAACAGCCACTTACGAGCATACGAGCCGCCTCTTCAAGTAGCGTCTACCCTTAAAAAATCTCCGCTCCTCAAAGAGTGGTGGGCGTGAGTGCCGAGCTAACCAGGCAGTCACCTGGAGGTTCACATGTGGAGTCAGACAAAAACAAGCAGGACAGTGTCGGGCTTGGTTCCGAGCCGGGGGAGGATGCCAGAAGCGGAGTGTTTACAAATGTAGGTAAACGTAGATGTTTAACAATCTGTTAAAGTACACCAAATGCAGGAAATCACATCTACCTTATACAAAAGTTTCTTGGACACCCCCAGATATATGGTTTCTGTGGTCCAGGTGTGGTTTCTATGGTTCAGGTGTGGTTTCTATGGTTCAGGTGT